ACCTTGAGGTTACCAGAGCATAGATTAATGTTGCCAAGTTATTCCTGTCCAGATAGGGTCATAGTTGAGCCACCACCATGGCCGCGGAGTGCCATTGCAAGTCCCTAACTACTTTTTGGGTTGAGATGGTGTTCCTCCTGATTGGGAACAAAAACTTTTGAAGCCTGATGAATAGTTAGCAGGGCAGAGAGTGTAGCAAGCCCTTGGCCCCCTCCCTGAATCCCTTTTCGGAGAAGCAGGAGCGCATGGCGCTGGTTGGTACTTACACGCAGCTCGAGGATCAGAGTGTCATTTCTCAGAAGGAAGCTCTCGAGAAAGTACTGGATCCCAAGAGGTGACAAGTCAACTGCAGGGAAGCCAAGAATTTATATATTTATTTATTTATTGCATCTGTATCCCGCGTTTTCGCCAAAGAACTCAAGGTGTCATCCGTGACTCTTCCTCTCCTCATTTAATCCCCACAACACTGTAAGGTTGGTTAATCTGAGAGGCAGTGCCTGGCCCTCAAGGTCACTCAGTGAGAGCTTTGTGGCCGAGTTGGGATCTGAACCCTGGTCTCCCAGTTCCTCCTCTGACACTCTACCCACTACACCACACTGCCTCTCAAGTGAGGAGACTCATTCAGTGTTGGTACTCTTTAACTAAGGAGCAAATCTCTTTATCCCATGGCCTCAGAGCTCCTGGAATATGCATTACCCGCACCAACCTCCCCTGTCTTTTAGGAAATCTTCCCAATTGCCCATTCTATTGAAAGAATCCTTGCTATGGACTTCCCCATTCATTTCAATGGGGAGACTCTTTCCTCCCGTGCAACGGCATGCACACAAAGATCAGCGCCTTCGGCTGAATGAGTGGGGAAGTCCACAGGACTAGTTACAGCATCAAAGGAACAGTATCGGAATTTTGAAGTTTTGCAATTCTGGTCTTCAAACATCATGTCTAATAAAAGCAGGGAGATATTTTGAAGGCACCGTTTCTCTCCCAAACCTAATGGCATCCATAGTCATTTAGCTCAAATTGGGGAATGTGCATATTTCATTTACTCCCCCTCTGTGTGTTTAAAATATCAACCAAACCAGCATCAGAGGAATCTGCTTCAAGCAGCTTCTCCCTGATTTGCCTTAGCATTTCTTAAAGGAATGTGCAAAGAAGGAAGCTGCTTACATAGACTCTGGCTCAGAAGGCAACCTCCAGGCCTGGACAGGGCAGACTGCAAGAGGCCACAGCTCTGAAATATAAAACATGAAAAGCAAAGTGAGAGTGGAAAACACAAGTCTGGAAACCAAGCCTTACGAGGAATGGCTGGGGGAGTTGGGTCTGTTTAGCCTGGAGAAGATTGAGAGGTGATATGGCAGACAAGCTTGCTTTCTCCTGCTCTGGCGGAGAGGACTCAAACCAATGGTTGAGATTGCGGCTAAACATCAGGAAGAACTTTCTGATGGGAAGAGTTGTTCGACAGTGGAACGGACTCCCTTGGGAGGTGGTGGATTCAGAGGTTTTTAAGCAAAGGATGCATTGCAAGGGGGTTGGATTAGATGACCTTTGAGATTCCCCCCAACTCTACAATTCTATGAACACCAGTAGCACCAAGAACAGCATCAAAATCAATTCATTTAACATCAGCAGTCAGAGCCCTATGTACATTTCAACCTCAACTCCAGCAGGATAAGACCAACCTTTTCATCCAAAACAGGGATCAGTCTTTCCCCCAGAGCAATCTGTACCATTGGCGTGACACCCTCTATTGAAGTGCTGGAAGATCTGATGAGTGATAAAATGGGAAAGAGATGCGAAAAGCTTGCAGAAGTTAGAACAGCTGCCTGCAATTTAAATGAAAAGGTGCATCCTAGCAGTGCCTGTTAGGGCGTCGTCCTACTCTCGAGTAGGACCCTGGCAGAGACACATGCTCGACTGGCATGTTCCCTCCCTCCTGGTCAATCGTTCGGGAGCTTCAAAAGCTTTCTTCTGCCCGAACATCACAGCAACTTATGCCAACAGACATCAGCACACTTAGGGATCCACAGAGTCTTCGCAGTTTAAGTAACAGAACTCAGCAACTCAGCATTGTGGCTAATCTACTTTATTTACACACAGATCACTGCAACATGGTTCCTTCTCTCTCTAGCATCAGTCAGCAAATAGAAAGAACAAAGGACAATAGTCCCACTTCACGGAACACAGTAACACAAACATCCTGTCTCCGTCATTTCCCATTCTGTAGAGTCAAAACATACACCGTCATGTGAAAGACAACAATCCCATGACTGCAATCACGGAGCAGGAATTCTAACAGTGCCGTTCCAAGCCCTTGGAAGACAGTAAAAACAAACAAACCAGTGCATACAAACGCACACACTGCCGTATCATAACAAATTTACCACAGCGATCAACAATATAGAAATGTAAAACTAGACAATGAAATCATAAAAAGTGAAAATCGAGTTAAAAGCAAATAGAAATTAAAAGCGAATATCAATAAACCCTTGGTTGGGGGTTTACCCTTAATTGTTTGCATAGGCTTGACAGAATAAAAAGGTTTCCAGCAAGTCTTTAAAATCTGGCACAGAAGGCAACTGCTGAAAATCCAGTAACAAAGAGTTCCAGAGGAATTATCAAAAATACTATGGATTGTTATTTACAGTGCAATTCAGTGAGGATGAGAGAGGGAGAGTATGTGCCAACAGAATGGCCAAAACCCAAAGCTTGCCTTTCTCATTCTGGTGTGGGCAGGAGTAGAAACACATCAGTGAGATCCAGGGCTGGCTGGCAGACATCCTCTCTCTCTTACTCTCTCTCTCTCTCTCTCTCTCTCTCTCTCTCTCTCACACACACACACACACACACACACACACACAAATCCTTGGAGAACATTGGTGGAATGAAATGCTTCGGATCAAACAAAGAACCAGAAAACTCTGCTTTTAATTTGTTTTGATCAGGTAGGTTAAGCAGTAAACAAAACAAAACATAACAAAAACAAAACAAAAACCTGGTCAGATTGATGACTTGAAATCATTTGCCAACCATCAGGAATGCCAGAACACAACATTCATTTACATGGTCTAGCCTGCCATTCTTTGCCTGAGTGAATTGCCTGGCTGTTTGTCTTCTTCCCCTGTCACCCGCCCAAGGAAAATGTTCTGTCGTTCTACCCGGACACTGAGGTCCAGCACTGAGGGCCTTCTAGCGGTTCCCTCACTGCGAGAAGCCAAGTTACAGGGATCCAGGCAGAGGACCTTCTCAGTAGTGGCGCCCTCCCTGTGGAACGCCCTCCCACCATATGTCAAAGAGAGCAACAACTACCAGACTTTTAGAAGACATCTGAAGGCAGCCCTGTTTAGGGAAGCTTTTAATGTTTGATGTACTACAGTATTTTAATATTTTTTGGAAGCCGCCCAGAGTGGCTGGGGAGGCCCAGCCAGATGGGCGGGGTATAAATAATAAATTATTATTATTATTATTATTACTTACTTGTACCAGGTTTTGATATCTGACCAACCACCACAGGAGCGGCAGCTCTTCATTTGAAATCCACTGCTGTTCATGGTCATGACAGTTGAGAAGTCCTTTGTGACTTGAATCTCCACCTCTTTGCCCAAAGGATCAAAGGAACTAGATGGAAGGAAAGGATATATTGCATTTGTATCACGCCCTGAAAATACAAAGTGCTGGTTTTAGCCTACCTAAGAACGTAAGAACAGCCTGCTGGATCAGGCCACTGGCCCCAGAATCCTGTTCTCACAGTGGCCAACCAGATGAGAAAGCCACAAGGAAGATCTGGACACAAGAGCTCTCTTGCCTCCTGGGGTTTCCAGCAACAGGTATTCAGAAACATTTCTGCCTTCAACTGGGCAGGAGAGAATAGCCATCCTGGCTAGCAGTCACTGAGAGCTCTTTCCTCCATGTACTTGTCTAATCTAATCTGTTTTTAAAGCCACCCAAGTTGGTGGTATTGTAGTAAGAATAGGAATAAGAATTTATTATTAATAACATGCCCATCTGAATGGGTTTCCCCAGCCACTCTGGACAGCTCCCAACAGAGTATTAAAAACAAGATAAAACATCAAAAACTTCCCTAAACAGGGTTGCCTCCAGCTGTCTTCTAAAAGTCAGATAGTTGTTTATTTCCTTGACATCTGATGGGAGGGCTTTCCACAGGGCACGTGCCACTACCAAGAAGGCTCTCTGCCTGGCTCCCTGTAACCTCACTTCTCTCAGTGAGGGAACAGCCAGAAGGCCCTCAAAGTTGGACCAACACTTTGAATTGTGGCCGGAAACGTACTGGGAGCCAATGTTGGTCTTTCAGGACTCGTATTATGTGGTCTCGGTGGCCGCTCCCAGTCACCAGTCTAGCTGCCACATTCTGGATTAGTTGTAGTTTCCAGGTCACCTTCAAAGGTAGCCCCACATAGAGCGCATTGCAGTACTCCAAGCGGGAGATAACTAGAGCATGCACCACTCTGGTGAGACAGTCTGTGGGCAGATAGGGTCTCATCCTGCGTACCAGATGGAACTGGTAGACAGCTGCCCTGGACACAGAATTGACCTGCACCTCCATGGACAGCTGTGAGTCCAAACTGACTCGCAGGCTGTGCACCTGGTCTTTTAGGGGCACGGTTACCCCATTCAGGACCAGGGAGTCCCCCACACCCACCCACACCCTGTCCCCCCAAAAGAGTACTTCTGTCTTGTCAGAATTCAACCTCAATCTATTAGCTGCCATCCATCCTCCAACTGCCTCCAGACACTCATACAGGACCTTCATTGATTCTGATTTAAAGGAGAGGTAGAGCTGGGTGTCATCCACATACTGATGAACACCCAGCCCAAACCCCCTGATGATCTCTCCCAGTGGCTTCATATAGATGTAAAAAACATGGGGGGGAGGACAGAAACCTGAGGCACCCCATAAGTGAGGGCCCAGGGGTCTGAACACCCATCCCCACCCCACTTTCTGAACACGGCCCAGGCGGAAGGAGCGGAACCACTGTATAACAGTGCCTCCTGTGGGAGCAATAGGTTCCATGCTACCGATGGGGTTTTCTAGCCTAATGGCATCATACTTCATCTATTTGTTTATCTGAAAATTTCCACCACCCATTCCAGCCAAAAAGGCATCCAAACTGGCTTAAAACGATCTATAAGAAGACACAGATCTGCTCACACAGATTTGACCTCTTTGGGGGGTCAACAGAGTTCATCTCTAACAGAAAGATTGCTTGGATGCTCCCAAATATCACAGACTTATAGAATTGCAGAGTTTTCACTGCTGGTCTTCAAGGCTATTTCCTGAAAAGAAGATGCTGAAAAAGAACTTACTATTCTAAATAGACGCCAAATACCACCATCCAATGGAGGTTCAGTGAATCGTCTGATCGCATTGTTATATCAATAGCTGGGCGATACGGGGTCTCCACCGTTATTCTGCAAAGACAACAAAAGGCAACTCAACTAGTGGGGGCTCTGAGTTAAATGGGGAGGTGCCTAAAACTGTGGGCTGGACATTTCTGGTACCCCATGAATAAGGGTAAGGTAAAGGCAAAGGGACCCCTCACCATTAGGTCCAGTCGTGGCCGACTCTGGGGTTGTGGTGCTCATCTCGCTTTACTGGCCGAGGGAGCCCAACGTTTGTCCGCAGACAGTTTTTTCGGGTCATGTGGCCAGCATGACAAAGCCGCTTCTGGCGAACCAGAGCAGCGCACGGAAACGCTGTCTACCTTCCCGCCGGAGCGGTACCTATTTATTTACTTGCACTTTGACGTGCTTTCGAACTGCTAGGTTGGCAGGAGCAAGGACCGAGCAATGGGAGCTCACCCCGTCATTGCGGGGATTCAAACTGCCGATCTTCTGATCAGCAAGTCCTAGGCTCTGTGGTTTAACCCACAGCGCCACCCGCATCCCTCGCATGAAGAAGGGAGTCCTCAATAAAAGAGATTCTCTTGAACACACCCTATTAAATGGAATGGGACCTGCACATAAGCGTTACTGTGCTCTTCCAGAGTTCCTGTTTCAAATGGGACTCCCAATTTGCACAGATCCTACCTGGGTGGCAGATGTGGGATGTGTCCAAAGAAGGGCTTTCCAGAGTCAGGGGGTGGTTGAGGACTGAGTTCCCTTACCAAATGGGTTAACTCTTCTCCCATGTCTGAACTGACCAGACATCTCCCAAGCTCTGAAAGAATTGTAGTTTGATCCATCAGTGACTGTGCTTTAGAGATAGTGAATAAAAAGTCAAAGAACTCAGGCATTTATTGACTGTGGAAAATGCTGAGATTTAGGATGATGTACTTCATTGCTTTTCTCATGCTACATTATTTTTTTATTATTATTTAAAAATATATCAAAACAGTGATGTAATGGAGAGGTAAGCAAGGACCAGTTTTTAGAATATGTTAGTCCTGGTTTGTATTTATTTATTTGAATCATAGAACTGTAGAATTGGAAGGGTCCCGAAGAGCCATCTAGTCCACCCCCCTCCCATAATGCAGAAATCACAGCGAAGAGATGGAAGACAGGCCAAAGAAGTTCAGCCTACCTAATTCAGGACATGCATGTATCTTGTGCAAAATGGGGAAGATGAGACCCAAACACCTGCCTCACCCTGCTAACTGCAAGGATTGTGGGGTTTGTTGGCTATTTGCAGTTTAGTAACGTTGCAGAGAGCTTGCTGGGGAGACCATGCATAACAAGGAACTCAAAAATAACTTTAGCAAGGTTTTAATAACAAAGCAAGAACTCCTTTTACACTAAAGATAACAACAACAAACATGGCCCAACCACCAACCCATCCCCCAGGGTAATGGGAGAGCTAGGGGCTGCTCCTTATATACTATGCCCAAATGCTGACACAGCTTAATTAACACAACCTAGCAGCACCTGCTATGTTTCACAGCTGTAAGACTGGGTCTCATTATTTGCCCTGGCCCTTAAAGACATACACAACTTGTGAAACAATAATGAACCTTCACATTTTACAGTGACCATTCAACAAGGTTACCTTCCTCCAGGTATTTCCTCCTGATCCTCAGAAAGGCCCCTTGGCCTTCATGTCCCCAAGTCAGGCTCAGGAGACCGCAGAAGAAGAGAAATCCCCACGCCCGGATCATCTCCGCCTCTGATCGCAGCTGCAGAAAAATTCCCAGCATGACATTAAACATTATAAAATGTTTATTATGGAGATATATATATATATATATATATATATATATATATATTAAACAATTGTAAATCAACACACACACATATATAATTTTCATTTTTTAAAAATAAACATTTCAACAAAAAAACAAAAACAAAATTCTCACCTATCAATCCTCAACTTCCCTCCCCCTCTTTCAGCAGTTCCATTAATTTACTCTCTTTTTTTCTTTTAGAAACTGGAAGTTTTTACAATAGTCCTGCTAATGTCTTAATTTGTTTACAATTTGTTTGTAAATACTCAGTATATATATATATACCTAAGCTGTAACAACTATACAATTAAGCTTAAGAAACTGAAGTGAAATAGCCAAAAAGAACCTAGTTTAGCAGCCTGTAACATCCACTAGGTTTAACAGATCTAAAAAAAGTTAACGGTTCCTTGAAAGATTTCTATCTCCTGACACACCTTTTGATTTACCAACTTTGTTGTGTAAAATAAATTCTTTCATCTGTTTAACATCTCCCTAAGTCTCCAATATCGGAGAGCTTTTCCTCCTAAAATTAAGCAGCGGTTAAGTCTGGGCTCGCTACAATTGGTGGAGCATTTTGATAGGAAATAAAATCCCCAAAGTAGAAGAAAGTGTGTTATACTTTGGTGAGGGAAAATTCCTGTCAGGAAATGGCAGCTTCTCATAAACCTCCAAGGCAAGAGGAGGCAGTCAGGGAGAAGCTCAGACTGAAGGAGCGATTTCTGAGGGAAATTCTGGTCAGGAGATAGAACTTGAAATAGAAAGCAGAATAGAAGCAGAAAAACAGATTCAGTTAGCCAAAATACAAGGCAGAGGAGAAAGAAAGAAAGAAAGAAAGAAAGAAAGAAAGAAAGAAAGAAAGAAAGGTCAAAACACAAGCAGAACAAGAACAAGCAGATTCAGTTAGCGAAAACACAGGCAGGTGACAGAGAAAGGGAGAGAGAGAGAGAAAGAGAGAAAGAGGCAGAATGTGAAGAAGAAATGTATAATCTTGAAATGCAAAAAATACAGCTTAGAGCAGAAGGACTGGTTCCACAGAGAAGTGGGGAAGTTACCTCAGTGGAACAAACAAAATTTCAAAAAGGAGATGATATAGAAGCCTTTCTGTTTTGAGAGAACCAAATTCAGAGCTTCTGGATGAGGCCAGAATGAAGGATCTCCTGAGGGAGATTTACTCAGAAATGAGGGATGAGGAAACCGCCGATTGTGGACTCTTTAAAGAATGAGGGAGAGTTTGATTGTGGCTCACGACTGAGCAGAGCAGGAAAACATTTTGGAGAAATTAAGAGGAAACCTGGGGGAACTTATGCCCAGTTATGTTATGGCCTCCAGAGCCTGGCTGAGGGAAGGAAGGGTCAGGCGCTGGAGGAACTGAAGCAACTGATAGTGTGGGAACAGTTCTTGAAACATGTCTCCTCACATTTGGGATAAAAAGCTGAAGACGGTGGGGGAAGCCGCCAGTTCCCTGGACGAGATGGAAGGAGGTTGGGGAGGTTTGTGGTTCCCACCCGCCTTCCGCAAAAGCCAAGTTTGGGGCTGCTCAGAGAAGTCGGAGGCAGCCAAAACCAGCCCTGCGAGGCGGGTCCCTCCCCTGCAGAACAGAATGGGGGGATCTGTTTCCCCTCAGACTAAGCTCAGAGGCTTCCTTCTCTGGCCAGAGGAGAGTTAGAAGGGATCCCAAGGCAGGAATCCTATCAGAGACCAGAGAGGAGGAGGGGAGAGGCCAGGATCAGGCACTGCCGGGAAAAGGAGTCCCTTGGCAGCCCGGCTTGGGCAATGTTGTCCCTGAGGAGAAGGATGTGCATTGGCCCTCATCTCGCCCCTGAGCCCCAGCCCCAGTTATGGCTGCTTAGAATCGCAGGACTCGGAGCCGGAAGGAGGAAGGAGAGAACCTGCGGCCCATTTCTCTGATTCTCATTTCCCTGGATCGGGGGGGGGGGGGGAAGTCCCCAGGGAAAACCATCAAAAGTTCAGTGTACATTTCTCCGGATACACACATGGTTGCGTGCAATTCTTCCTAACATGGACAGTTTTGCAAAGCAATTTCTCATCCCATAACATGCTTTCCTAGGTTATTTTCCCTTTATCTTAGTATCTATCTATCTGTACAAATTTCTTGGCCAGAGGACTGCACTGCAAAAACTGGGGGGAGTGTAAATTTCAAAGGACGGCTGTGTATTAATATCTGCGTATTCAGCCGCCCCCCTAATTCTAGCACAGGCAAAGCCCCCCCCCCCCATTTCATGGGCAGCTCCTTCATCCCACCATTTGTAGGGAGTTCCTGAGAGATGCCCCCCATTTTCATCTCCCCACAGCCAGCAGGTGGAAGGGCCCAGAACCAAGGTGGAGATACAGTGGTACCTCGGGTTAAGTACTTAATTTGTTCCAGAGGTCCATTCTTAACCTGAAACTGTTCTTAACCTGAAGCAGTCTCCCGCTGCCGCCACACCTCAATTTCTGTTCTGATCCTGAAGCAAAGTTCTTAACCCGAGGTACTATTTCTGGGTTAGCGGAGTCTGTAACCTGAAGTGTCTGTAACCTGAAGCGTATGTAACCTGAGGTACTATGGTATTGGGCCAGACTAACTGATTGGTGGCTTTTCAAGAAACAGCAAGCAAGCAACTTTCCTCAAAAAAACCAGCATTTACAGATGCGTTCGGCAAAGGAAGGAGCAACCTCGCAAACGAAACCAGCCAGCTTTCCCTTCCTGCTGCTGCCAATGCATAGCTGTCAACTTTTCCCTTTTCTTGCGAGGAATCTTATTTGGAATAAGGGAATTCCCCTTTAAAAAAGGGAAAGGTTGACAGCTATGTGCCAATGCCTGGGTGGCACCTTCTGGGCACACTGTGCTGCAGTGTCTGATGCAATGAAGAAGGGTGCTGCCACTCACCTCTGAAGCTGGGAAGGCTTCTGCAAATCCTGCCAGGCAGGAGACTGTCCAGGGAGCCCTGCTCTCCTCTTCTCGCTGGCTATGCAAGTCGGCTCTGCCCAGAAGCCCCCAGAGAAGCCCCTTGCCCAAGATGCTGAGCTCTAGGCAAAGGGAGGCCAGGCAGCCGCTCACTCCTGTTACTGGCTCTCCAGGGGATCGGTGCCATCGCACAGCAACTGGGCACCTCCCTCTGGGCACCTGGGAGAAAAACTCTGCGGGGAATGTAATTGAGCGGTGGCATTGGGTGAGTTGCCAAGGCCCTGGGCGAGGCAAGTATTGCAGCCCAGTATTGAACCCCTTATGCCTCCGGCAGATGTATTGTATTTTAAGAAAAGACTGGTGTTGGATCAGGCCCATCTAGTCCAGCATCCTGTTATTAGGGGATGGGGGTGGGAGACACACATAAGGCTCTACCTGTTGCCTGCCTGTCTGTTGCAAAGCTTTTAAAGGCACAGAGGGCCTTTTAATAAATAATAATAATAATAATAATAATAATAAATTTTATTTATACCCCGCCCTCCCCAGCCAAGACCGGGCTCAGGGCGGCTAACACCAGGTATAAAAACAATTGATTAAAATACAATTTAGAAACAAGATTAAAATACTACATTAACATTGGCAGAAGAAAAAGCCCAAGAAGTCATTGAAGGGCCCAGCCAGAGGGCCACCAGCATAGGCAGGGCTGCTTTGCTTAATAAGCCTCATGGCTGCCCTCAGGGACACTGTCTGTCTGTCCTCCCTCCCTCAGGGTCTCGCCCCCCTGCTTTACCTGTTACCTTCATCTTTCACCTTCGCTATGGCATTGTTTAACTGGGGGCTGCATGGCTGAGGGGCAGGGAGGGAAATGGACGGAGTACGCATACCCTCCAACATTTGTCAGAAAATAAGGACCTTCTAATCTACATCAGTGCCAACCCCCCCCCCCCCCATATTTGTGCACCGCTGATGGAATAAAGGGGAAAGAGCCAGGCTGGCTGATCTGCTCTATTGGGACTTACTTTAAAGCAAGCAAACAGGGCTCAAAATGTGAGCTCCATCACAAGGGTGTTCAAGTCTGAAATCTTATACACATGCTGTCCCACTCAAGTCAGTGAGGGATTTGCCACCCTTTAAGTGGGAATTTAAAAGCTGGTTCTGACCTGCTGAATTTCTGCCTGCCATACATCTGTTAAAGGGACACTAACTCTGCAAGTGGGGGGAGGTGCCAGTCTATATAGGATATAAAGTTTACCTTTGCATACATACACACACACACACAACACACAAACAAAACACACACGATGATGACACACATAAACACATGCAGTGCCATCATACTCAAAGGCTTGCAGTGCTTTAAAAGTCTAACAGAAAGATTTATTTGCAACATCAAAAGGGGTTAATGAAAAAGCTTAACACATTTATTCACAGCCCAATGGAGTTCATGTAACTTTTAAGGACCCCCAAAACAACAGCCTCCAGCCCCCACACAAATGGCAAATTTGCTTGCTTTGCCCAGTACCTAAGCCTAGCAGAGGCAGCAGCATGCACCTTTACTTCCAAGTAGACATGTTTGGGATTTTGCTGGTGAGGGAAGCGGGGGGAGGGAGACCGCTAGCTAATTTTGCAAAGCCTAGAAAAACTCTGGAAACATGACTTGAAATTTACAGCATATTATTCTTTGAAGGAGAACCAACTGAAAATGATTCACAGATGGTGAATGGACATATAAATGAGTAAAAGAGTATTGGGAAATGATCTATAATGTATCGAAAAAAATGTTTATAAGTACTTGCCCCAAAAAACCAGTCCTTTCTGCTGGGGATAATTCAGACTGAAATTCCCAGGTGCCAGAAACGATTGTTTATGTATGCTACACCTGCGGCTGGTGTTTCGTTAGCCCCAAAATGGAAAACAAGCGAGGTCCCAACCAAAGAAGAATGGCAACTTAAATTGATAGAATATGCACAACTTGCAGACCTAACATATAGAATAA